TATCTAATATTTAATCTAAATTTTATAATATTTAAACTACTAGCTATAAATATGCAAAATATTGGTTAAATATAAAAGAAATCTGTATATTTATCTAATATTTAATCTAAATTTTATAATATTTTAAACTATTAGTTATAAATATGTAAAATATTAGTTAAATATCTATATTTAAATTTTAATTATAAAAAATCTATTATATTTATTTAACATTTGTCTATAATTTTACCTTAGTAATTTTAAACAAGCCAAAATATTAGTTAAATATAATTAAATAGATTTTTAATAAACAGTTATATGCTTTTTTTAAACTAGTCGAAATTAAATATCCAACTTGTTAAATAACCACTTAATATAGTATTTAACTTTATTATATGACTTTATGGAGATGCATGTCCGTGAAGTCATATAATAAAGTTAAATACTATAGTCGACACGGTTTAATTGTATAGTGTGATATCAGGGTCGTAATAGCTGCAAGACCAACAAAATGAATTAGTTCTTATTATTTAACTATTTAAGATATCGAAGAAAAAACTTTATTAAAGGTGTGAGAGGCATTACTTTTATATTTTCTCAGATGTATAAAAACCAGAGTCTTACAATAATCATAAATTAGATTGCTGAAGCTACAGTATCATTCCTCTAAGCTTTTAAAACTACAGTTTCAATAATCAAAGCTTCGCTACTCAAAGCTTCGCTATTAATCATTAAGATCCTTAAAGTATCGCAAGTTACAATTTACCACAAAATACAACTAACTCGGATAGGATGTTTGATGAGTAAAAAAAATATGTACAAAATTAGAAAATCGATTTACAAATAAAGAGAAGTTACTATTGCTGAAACTACAGTTTACTACAAGCCTGATGGTCACACTACACCATAACATTAGTCCCAATATGCATTTTTTGTTATTACTTAGTCATGAATTGTTAGGACAACACTAAGAATTATAATAAATATAAAATATATTAAAAAAATAATATGTTTAAAGTGAATCGAATTAAGAACTATGATCAAAATATTGATGATTTATTACAAATATTACTACTTACTGTAGTGTGTTATGCCTACTATATCTAGTTATTAGCTAAAACTATATGCTATATAGTTACTTAATGATTAATTTCATTATAACAATTAGGTAATAAAGAAATTTTAGTAAGGTAATAATAATGAAATTCAAAGTGATTCAAGAAATAAATTGAATTAAAAAGTAATTCTGGTAATTAACTTCAACAATTCAAACTGCATTTTATTAGTAAATTAATTTCACTACCACAACCAAATTTGCAAAATAGTAAATATTAAAATCCCAATTTTTTATTAATTAGAATAACTGCAATATGTTTTGTTGATTGATTTAATTTGTAATCTGCTTTAAAAAATCGGCAAAAAATTCTTTAAATAGGAAGAATATTTTCAACAGAACATTTGTAAAAAGTATTTTCCCACAATTCAGCTCAAAACATTTCTACATAAGCACATCCACCTTCATCAAATTGAAAACAATCAGTTTTGTGATTATATATATGGAAATGATTACAACAACTTGATGTTTTATACCAATCAACAAAAGCCAACAAATGCTCTACTGTTTCAAAATCAATATGACTTCTAGAATTTTCTGACATAACTTCTCATGGAACTTGTACTCGATGCTTAAAATAATACAACACTTTTCCTGGCCAGTGATATATTTTATATTCTTTACCAGCTTTAGTCATTTTTTCATCAACAAAAGCCGCAATGATATATGAATTTGAGTCTGATCGTGAAGAAATTGAGCCAAACTTTTCATCTCCAATATAAATAGTTCCAGCCCGCTCAATTGTAGATGTTACTAAAATTGAATTAGCGCTTGAAACATAATCGCAGGATGCAGTAAAAGTTAACGTTTGTTAGGTTTTAGAATAAATTTTGTTATAAAATTGTGCAAGATGCCGATTTGTAATATCATCCAAGTCTGCAAAATATATAGGTTTAAGAAACTTTTCAGGAAATAATTCCGCTCCAGTAATGGTTTGTTCAGAAATTTTGGTTGATATACTATAAAGTTGTAGAGCATCCTGTACAGGTATTGAATATTTAGCTAACGTTCCCACCAATGAAATAGAATTATGAAATGTTCTAAATGTATAATTAATCGAATCTGGAAATTGTTTTAACAAAGTTGATGCGACCATATCAATTGTAATTTCTTCATAAATAGCAGACATAATTTCAGTAGTAATATCTTGATTTGAAGTTGGAATTTTTTTTTTTTTTTTTTTTTTTTTTTTTATAGAGT